AGTAGAGCAGGTATTACTTAGGCATTTGAGGAGTGCGGAGGCCGCGAGCCGCGATTCATGCATGACATTTGCTCGACGACAGCTTAGAATTCAATCATTGTTTTGTTGCCATCACAAAAAACGTGTACTCATAACGTAATTGTCTCAATTAATTTATTTGCCTGTAATTCCACATTCTGCGCTAAATATTGTTTTTTTTTTTTTGCTTTTTTCTTTGTCATTACTTATTACATTATTGCAAGACAGTTTTGCAATGGACTTCTTTGTCATCTATTTTAACTTCATCATCATCATTTCAGCCAGTTTCCGTCCACTACTGGACATAGGCCTTTCCCATAAAATGCCATAAAGAACGGTCCTGAGCCACCTGCATCCACTGACTCCCTACAGTGCATTTTAGGTCGTCACTCCATCTAATGGGGAGTCATCTTATACTGCGATTGCCCGTACAGAGTTGCCACTCAAGGACCTTCTTCCTCATCTGTTGCCAGTTATTCGAGCTATGTAACCAGAGGGCCTACCATGAAATGTTTTCCGAAATTTCGGAGTCAAACGAAAAACAAATTTGATGTTAAAATTACATAATACATGCCATTTGGAAATATTAAAAATGTTAAAATATTGTTCCTTTGGACTTTTATGATAGGATGTATGACAAAGGAAATGTTAAACTCCATTTATTGATCCGATTTCGGTATAAACAAAAACACGAAATTGAGTCCGAAATTTCGGAATTTCATTTCATGGTAGACCTGCTGCTCATTGCCTGCTTGCATATCCTTCGGACCATGTTGATTCCTTTGATTCTTTTGCGAATATCCTCGTTTCGGAATCCGTCACGCAAAGAAACTCCGAGTATAGCCTTCTCCATAGCTTGTTTAGTAATACTACTGCTTACTTATTTGATTATTATTAGCATAATATTACTAAAAATTTGGGATCACAACTATTAACTATTGAAGGGCAAGCTACTTAATTAAATGTTGCCTAACACATACTACTAGCATATTGCAAGATTTAAAAAAAAATTATGGACAAATTATTAATAACATTTAATGATTGAATATTAATGTGTTAAATTAATGCTTTACGTAAGTAAAAACATAAATTTTTGAGCCGACTTCAGAAAGAAAGAGGTTATCAATTTGCTTGTATTTTTTTTTAATGTTTATTACCTCATAACTCCATCAATTTTTTTTTTTGATGAATGAAACTGTAATTGTAACCCCGTCTGCGCTAACGGGATACGGTAGCGGAGCATTAGTGAAGGGTGATCGATGAGAATGAAAACAGGCCAGTTAGCCCATCATGATGAATTCATCAGGAATTAACCGTGATAGTTTCCAGGGGGAACCGCGAGGAGGTCGACCTGGTTGGGTATATTGCTAGCAATAGGATTCTCAGTCTCCATACTAAACAATCCCTTTCTCCCAATTCCATCGGTTGTAAACCGATTTGAATAATTAATTTTTATTTAAAAGGATACACTTATAGATTAGTCCCATAGCAATTTTATCAAAATCGTTCCAGTAATTTACTTTTTAAACCAAAATGACTGGTTCTGCTACAATTAAAGTAGTTTTTTTTTGTGGAATGCAATCTTAAATTAATTCTTAAACAATATAAAGAAAATTTGTATCAATTTAACATTTTCCTCTCAATTGGCGTTACGAAACGCATTATTAATTATGATTGATGATCCATTCAAGTCATGAACCTCGTACTCGGGATGAGAGCTTGCAATGATTATCATTGTTCTATCTATTATACAAATACCTAATCGTATAGAGACCATTTCTTGCGCAATAGCAAATAAAACGCCCACGTTCGTATGTGCATAATAAATCAAGTGCTGTTTGGCAACTATTGTTTACCTAATTGTCAAGGGACTCCAATTCGTATAAATTTTTTTTAATGGATGATAATGGTATGGTAACCCCGTCTGCGCTATCGGTGTACAATGGCGGGGCACCAGTGATAGATTACTGATGAGGATGAAAGCAGATCAGTTAGCCCATCCTGACGAATTTAACTAGAATTAGCCACGATGCTTTCCAGGGGGAACCACGTGGAGGTCGACTTGACAGGGTGTATTGCTAGTAATGGGGCTATTTGATCCCATTACTAATAACCCCTTTCCCCCCAACAATCGTATACCGTTGGGTGGCACACTTAGCTAATAACTATTTGATGAGCCACCAGCGGCGTGTTTCAAATCACAATAATTACATGCACTAATCGTTGTGCCCGTTTTGTTGGCCATATTTAAAGATTTAATTGTGGCAGGTGTGTCAAGATTCAGCACTTTGCATTTACATAATGTTAAGTTAAATGTAGAACACGCTATGGCAGAGTATTCAGAAAACCGAAGGTAATCTGTCACTAAGTCTGGTCTTCGCATGCATAGATAGAACTATTACAAACTACATGCTTTATCACTGGGTTGGCTGGGAGAGATCTCTTTTCGAGCTAAGTACACCCTTGCTCACATTATTAATAACAGTCTAATCTATTTACAAGTACAGTATAGAATATATGTATATATAGATTTTTTTCTAAAATATTATATAGTCTATATTATATTATCTATATTCTCTGATAATGTAGCTTTCTATAAATGAAATAAATTTTAAAATCAGTTGAGTAATTTTGAATTTTATTCATTACATAATAATAAAATCTTTTTTCTTTATAACATTAGTATAGATATCAAGAGTTGAAGTGTCCAAGTACAGAACCAGAAAATGCAACTAATTTCAGTACAAAACGAGTGAGAGAATATGACCGCATATCATTTAATACTGTATAACTATGTTAAAGTAAATGCTGTGAATACCAATAATAGGCATGTGCATTAATACTGTATTGTATTTAATGTTTGCTATATATGTTATAATGCAATATGCTGTTGGTGTTCCTAGAAATAAATAAATATACTCTAAACTCTTTGCAACTAAATGAGTAGTTTTAGAAATCTAGGACTGGGAAGTAGCTGGAATAAAAACAACATTCTTGCGTATATGATTCTCTTTTAATTTGATGACAATACTGTAATCAAGCTAGAATCCCTGGAGCATAGTAACACTATGTTCCATGACCTTAACATTATTTCTCAACAGGCAGGTCTTCAGACAAATGCCCATATCACACCTATACCGGTTAATGTTAAGAACATTACGTTCGAAGTCGTCGACGTGCATACTTGGAACAACTTGTCAGACCAGATGAATCTATCTTTGACCGAGAGTACACTCTAGTCTAGTCTGTTGGACAGAATTCGGAAAACTGTTTTGTGAATTAACTTCAGATCGGGGTATCTTGGGTGCTTTAGAATTTTTTTGTACAATTTAGAATGTCCAACACACTAACGGCCTACTTTATAGTAAGCGGCATGAAATATACATAATGTATATTGGCACACGCATGAAAGGAAGAGGGAGACTTTGTACAAAAGTCGATTGCTTGGGTACCTCTGTCCCACTCGTGTTTCAACTGTGAAGCAGTTGTGTTTGCATGGCTGTGTATCGGTTTGAAGGGTGGGATATGGCGTGAATTTACAAGGTACAGAGGAATAACATCTGAGTCCTCAGGAATGGCAACGCATGGGGGGTATCATGGGCGAAACAGTATACTCTGTTATGTCCATGGTACTGCTCATGTCTATAGGCGACGGTTACCACTTTCCATCAGGTTGGCCGTCAGCTTGTTTGCCATTCTAAGTTGTATAAAAAAAAGAAGAAAAAATTGTTACTTGTTTTATATATTTTGGTTTTTTCTGTACACGCATTCTTTTATCTCTATTTACAGTGTATGTCTGTTATTATTTGTGTGCTGTAACTAATGCAAATAAATTATCTATCTATACTATATTGTCAACTTTATAATCTTAATGAATACCTACAATTCATTTCACTACACATTATTGTCAGTTAATATTCAATGAAACGAATATAAGCAGCATAGCAAGTAATCAACATAAAAAATGTACACACGACTTAAGTTATGGAGAGACAGTGGCAGCTGGGCGCGGACTGCGGCCGGCTACATTGTAAATTGGCGACGCGTACATGTAAACGAGGCGACATGATTTATCATGTTGTCACATAGACAAATTGCAGGTAATTGCATGATTGACAGCCATTGGATATTCTGACTTCATTATTTAAATCCAGTATAAAACGTTGCATTTGATTTTATCGAAATTTATCGAGTATACTTATTCACATCAGTTTGTACTGTTACTAACTACTAACTTGTCTTGTTATATAGTTAAAGCTCTTTTTTTCGCAGTGTATACGTTTTTTTTATACTACTTAGAATGGCAAACAAGCTGACGGCCAACCTGATGGAAAGTGGTAACCGTCGCCTATAGACATAAGCAGTACCATGGACGTAACAGAGTATACTGTTTCGCCCATGATACCCCCCATGCGTTGCCATTCCTGAGGACTCAGATGTTATTCCTCTGTACCTTGTAAATTTACGCCATATCCCACCCTTCAAACCGAAACACAGCCATGCAGACATAACTGCTTTACGGTTGAAACACGGAAGGGACAGAGGTACCCAAGCAATCGACTTTTGTATCTGGTTCCGTTCTGTACGTTCCGTAAATATACCGCGAATACAGAAACCGTGAATATGGACAGCCGAAGCACTTATACAGTGGCGTTAGCATTTGACAACGTACTTTAGGCGTAATCGTAATAAAGTCTGTTTTACTTTTTTATTAGTCCATTTGCCGACGCGTTTACAAAAGACACCTAATCCTTTTTAATAATATGCACCGATTAGATCCGCGAATACAGAAATATTTAGACGCGAATATAGGAATTGGGTCGCAATTTTTTAATATACACTATAGAAACACGAATGGGATCGAGGTGCCCGAGCAAACGAGTTTTATGCAAAGTTTCCTTCTGGTAAAAAGTTTCAGAGTTTTAAATTTTATCTCAGAGTATTACAAAGTAAATGCCGAAGGTACAGATGACCCCACTTACCAAAGAGGCGGACCTCTGCTGTTTGAGCTCATTCTGCCGCCGGTGGCTGTCCTCGCCCACGTCAGAGAACTGTCCGGACTTGCGGCCACTGTAAACAAACGACGATGTACTTAGACATAATACCAATCGCACTTTGGGGGGAAAGGGGTTGCTAGTAATGGTGTCTAATTGACATATTGCTAGCAATACACCCTATCAGGTCGACCTCCACGTGGTTCCCTCTGGAAAACTACGTGGCTGATTGTAGTGGAATTCGTCACGATAGGCTAAGTGACTTGCTTTCACCGTCACCTATCATCCCTCACTGGTGCCTCGCCAGTATATACCGATAGCGCAGACGGGGTTACCATTTGATTATCACCCAATAAAAAAAATATTACGAATATTACTTACCAGAGGGAGACTTTGTTCAAAAGTCGATTGCTTGGGTACCTCTGTCCCATTCGTGTTTCAACCGTGAAGCAGTTGTGCTTGCATAGCTGTGTTTCGGTTTGAAGGGTGGGATATGGCGTGAATTTACTGGGTACAGAGGAATAACACCTCAGTCCTCAGGAATGGCAACGCATGGGGGGGGGGGTCTCATGGGCAAAACAGCATACTCTGTTATGTACATGGTACTGTTCATGTCTATAGGCGACGGTTACCACTTTCCATCAGGTGGGCCGTCAGCTTGTTTGCCATTCTAAGTTGTATAAAAAAAAACAACTGTTATACAAGCACATTGTTTATTATTGACATGAATGTAAAATTATTAGAATAATGCAATTACAATCTGAAAGTATGAATAATATTTTCAATTAAAATGAAAAAGGATGCACCTCTCTAATTTAAAAAAATTATCAAATAACTGCACCTCTTCTCAGAGGCAAAATTGAAAAAAGTCAATGTTCGTAACATCTATCTGAAATTCACCTATATTCTTACAAAATAATTTCTTCTCATTTTACTTCTCTTACGTACATCCAAAGTAAAGTCGCTGTTTTCTAAAAGACTAATTCCAATATTTTCTTGAATACACTGTATATATTAATAGCAAACAATTAAATTATTATATATTATATACATATAGAATTTTCTATATAATAAATAGGTATATCGTATGGTACGGTACATACATTTCAAAGAATTCCTATTTACAGCTGGTTAAAATATAGAATGGACCGCGATATCAGTCCGTTACGCTTCACTTGACAGCCACTGACTTTATCTCTCTCGTTTTTTATTCGTTTTTTGCTATCATTTATTTTTTTAGAGGGACCTGAATTCATATATTTCTTCACATTTATTTGATATCTTTTTGATTAAATTCTTTATTCGAGATATTGCAATTTTAAAATTAAAAAGCTGATAGTATAGCTTAATTGAAAAAATATGTTACGTTCTCTCAAATTAAATATGTCAACAATTAAAACAAATTTTAGGTAATACATTACAATACTAGTAACAGAGAGGTTATTTATAGATAGCCATTGAAGATTCAGGGATGTATTGACACTCAAAATGTGTTTGGAATCCGACATGTCGTAAGAAAATTACCAATTAAAAAATTTAATTGATGATGCAGTGGCGGGTAAATGGTTTTATGTAAATGAGGTCCTAGGTTCGATTTCCGGTCAATTTAGGAAACGTTCTTTTCTGAATTATCTCAGATTTGGGTGTTTAGGGTTGTACCGTTGTTGTTATGAGCAATTATTTAATTATTATTATTATTATTATATATAGGCCACCAATTGTCCATGGTTGAACATAGGCCTACCCAATAAGGGGGAATTTTGTCAGTAGTTGCCACACTTGGCAGGCGGATTGGCAACTGCTGTAATATTTTAGTGATGTTTTAAGATGGACGCTGCTGCCCATTCTTAGACCATTAAATTTCCTTAATCGCTTCTTACGACACCCACGGGAAGGGAAATGGTGGCCCATTCTTTACCGGGACAGCGCGATAAAATATTTAATTAACGAAAGATGAATTCCACAAGAAATCTTTTGGAAAATTAAACAAAGTTATTTTAGTCCCGGGGGAATATCCCAATGTTATCCACGCTTAGTGAGCGTTACATACATTGAATAAAGGCGCACTCACCCGCGGGGCCAATCCGAACATTCCGAGCCGGCCCCGCGCGTTGCGTGTCTAAACGAAAATTCGCCCAAATTCCATAAACGTAATTATCTTTTTTGTTTCTGTTTGGATAGAATTGTTGGACAGTCACTGTGATTATTTAAATCGATGCAGCGGTCTTAAGATGTTTGTTTGTTTGCTTATTTATATTACTTTATTGTAAAGTCTAAGACGCATTGTTCGTAAGAAAAATATAAGTACAATAGCGGACTTATTCCATAAAAGGGATTTCTTTCAGTCAACCTTTGACAGTCTGATAGAAATTGTTAATTGGTGGAGACAAAAAAAATTAATACTAATAAAAAAAAATAGAAACATACTGTACAACACTGGCTGAATACTTCTGACAGATTAAAGGCCTGTATAAAAACTAAAGGTGGCCATTTCGAATGGATTATTTTTTTAATTTTTTGCTGTGACTTTAATAAATATGTAGGTATAAATTTTAGTAATATTACATAGCTTCATAAAAGAAATGCATTATTTATTTGTAACAGAGCTTATGGCTGGACTTTTTTAATGGATGATAATGGTATGGTAACCAGTAATAGATCACTAATGAGGATGAAAGCAGGTCAGTTGGCCCATCCTGACGAATTCAACTAGAATTGGTCACGATGGTTTCCAGGGGGAACCACGTAGAGGTCGACCTGACAGGGTATTTTGCTAGTTATGGGGCTATTTGACCCCATTACTAACAATCCCTTTCCCCCCTATGGCTGGACTAGGTATACATATGTTATCAGTTACCTGGAGGCGAGCTTGCGGTGCGCGCGCCTGCCGCCGCTGATCATGGACAGTGTGCTCATCACAGCAGACATGGCTCCGGCGGCTCCCGTACACGTGCATGTGATCTGCCGACAACACCATAGTTTACAATTTCGATACACTACTAGAAGTGACCGTGCTTGTTTACTCTCTATCTCTCTCTGTATGTGCGAGTGCGTGCGAGCGCGCGCGTGTGTGTGTGTGTGTGTGTGTGTGCGCGCGCGTATGTGTTGGCAACCGCAGTTAGGCTCTAATTTTCATTTGATGATTTCACGTGATGATCATTTGGGTTGCCCAACAACAACCCGCCTGCCAAGCGTGGCTACTACTAGCAAAACCACTAAGAGGAAGGCCTGTGTTCAACAGTGGGCAGTTAACGTCTGATATAGTGATAATGAAGAGATGTACCTAAACAATGTCTTAAAATTGTAACATCGTAACTGTGTACTATTCAATGAGCTTTATTTTCTTAAAAATTCGCTAAAAAGATTAAAAATAAGTAAACGCGATCAAACTATAATCAAAAATATGTAAAACCAAATCATTCTATTTTAAAAATGATCGCTGTCTATTTATTACATTATCACGAAACATTGACTAAATATACTTCAATAAAATTTTGAAAGTAATAATAGTCCCAAATCGGATACTGTAATTAATTAATTCATTTATTTATTTAAGACAACTTGGGTTCTTTTTTGTTATTAAATGTGCTTAAATACTTAATTACAAATTATGATTTAATTCTATCGCATTAACAAAAAATTTCTTAATATAACATAAAAAAATTAAATGATAAATTTGTATTTATAACAATTCATTTCATCTATTAAACATATAAAATTTAAAGCACGTCTAAATCCATACTAATATTACGCGTAAGTTACTTGTTTATTTGTATCATAACTTCTCAATTGATTTTCATGATATTTTGAATGTAAAATTACATAGGCTATTTATCCCAAACACACGAAAGAAGTCGCGTGCAAAAATTAGCTAGCAAAGCAATAAATAACATTTTAAACAACCATTCATCACAATAATGTTAGTTTTGAAAAATACTGCTCCTCCACTGATAAGCGCGCAGTTCCATCTAGATAACGGAATATTAAATCTAAAGCCAGCAATTAACTACAATTATAAACGGACTTGTAACAGTTACACTACAATCATACAATTAATCATACACTTAATGATGATTCATTATTTAACTAATGGTGGCCTTATAAAATAGTTAGGAAACAGACTGTTTCCTAATTCTTTTATATTTTTGTGTAGATTGTTCCGCTTGACATAAGATCTACCCTAAGCAAGCCAGCTTTTAAACACAAATTGCGCACCTATTTCTTAGAAAAATCACTTTCCCTTTAAACTTCTCCTGCTGGTTACTCCGTTTGAGTCATAGATTACTATTTATTCTTCTATTGCAGTTGTTTTATTTAATTGTTTTATATAGTAATATTTTATATATTTATTTGTGTATGTATTTATTTATTTATGTGTATGTTTATATTATATGAATTAATTATTCATTGCTTTATTTTTCCTCTATTCAAAAATGCACAGCCTTCGTATTTCTCGGTTTATCCAATGGTTGACTAGTAGAGAACACCGTCTGGTGTTAAGTCCGCCAAATGTACAACACATAGAATTTTACTTTGCATTAAAGTTTAAATAAATAAAAAATAATATTGATTATTTTATTTTTTTATTTATTTATACTTTATTGTACACAAAAAATTACAAATATATAATATATATTAAATAAAGATGTACAACAGGCGAACTTAACTCGGTAAGAGTTCTCTTCCAGCAAACCCTGAGTGGAAAGGAGCATTAATTACCAATTTATCTTAGATAAAGCTGTTAGTGATACACTGTTACCTGGAAATTTATATATAATTATTACTTTACTAATTATTACCCGCATCTTCGTTAAAAATACGGATTAAAAGACGCCTATGTTTTTCTGCATCCCACATACTATGAGTATAGTTAATTTTATGACAAACTTACTTTCAAATGTAACCATGAAGTAAGATCAAACTATTGTACATAAATAAATTAAGAATTTATTTATTTAGTTTAATTTTTCATTATGCAAAATATAAAATAAAAATTACAAAATACTCTGATGTACACATTATGTTAATATGTTTTAAATTGCACAAAATAATATGACAAATAGACAGGTTGTCTTAGAGTTATGCAGTGAAGGACACATCTGAAATCTGATCGCATGCAAATGCATTTGCTCGTGCAGCCGCCTATTGCAATTTGAGTTGCATTTCATCCAAATATTATATTACAAGTTTTAAATAATAATAATAATAACATTTAACAATTTGTTTACAGCTTTAAACAGTTTATATTTATTTAGATTTTATAAAGAACAATGAATGCTTAAGAACATCAGTTGAAAAAAACATCACCAATAAATGTTATTCTACTAACATTCTTGTTTTCTTTTGTATCATTTTATAATAGCAGACAAATGTTATATTTTTATCAGTAGTAGCTATATAAATACTTTATATTTTCATATATTATTAATGAAGTTGTTTCTAAGAATTGAGTGTCTCTTTTTATACGTCCATTAATCAAACGACTTTTGCTTAATTTTTATACATTCAACAATGGCACCATTACTTTTGTTTCCTTTTGAGTAAAGTGTGCTAACATTACTTTTCTCTATTTATTAGCATTTTATGTTTAAAGTCACATCGAAATCTGAATATGTAAAATCAAATTTTAATTTCATTAAGTACTTGGGAATGATAAGATTTGCCAAAAAGCAAAGCGATACTTATTGTGTCATATTATAATTTATTACCAAATTTATACGTGTATTAATCTGAAATTAGCATTTTATTATCCATTTTATATGTTTTAAAATATATTTAGGGTCGTTAACGACAATTAACATGCGCGGTCCACGAGCACCTCCGTTATGGACGGTCTACAAGTCGTAAACGTCAAAACGAATGAGCCTCGCGACCGCTACTTGAATTTACACTAATATTCATTCATATTGTACACACGTCCTTTTGTTTGTGATATTTCGAAAGTATTTTAATCTTGTTGAATAATAACTATCGTGAATCATACTGTATTGTAATCTGTATTTATAAAATAGACTGTATTTAGAAATAGTTTATTCTGATTGACTGCCCACAGACAGCCAAAACTGCTAAGTTTACGAAAGCTGAAATTTTAAACATAAGTTTATAATTTAAGTATCCGCTAAGAAATTTTTTTTTAAATTAACAATAACTAGCTATTTATATCGGTTATTATTCGGTACTATACGTTTTAAATATTTAATCTTATAATTCCTTTCGCGTTGTATGGTGTAGATTATTTGTACCACAACTGGTAGTAGAGTTTTCTGTGACTCGCCTGAGTTTTTTTTGATGAGTTAAAATGGTATGGTAACCCCGCCTGCGCTAACGGGATACGCTGGCGGAGCACCAGTGAAGGTTGATAGGTGAGGATGAAAACAGGCCAGTCAGCCCATCATGATAAAATTCATCTGGAATTAACCATGATAGTTTCCAGGGGAAACCACATGGAGGTCGACCTGGTTGGGTATATTGCTAGCAATGGGATTCTTAGTCTCCATTACTAACAATCCCCTTCCCCCCAACTCGCCTGAGTTTACTCCTCACCGACTGACTCCTCAAGACACTATGTAAACTTTCAAGAGATTTTTTGCATGGAAATTGGTAGATAATTTACTAATCATAAGTGTACATACATACCTCACTGTATAATACCTCTCACTACCTAATAATAAGTGATTAGCCATATGCATCCGCAACATTAGAGAAATTGCTAGTGCATTGCACTTGGTACAACAATCTTATGAAAATTAATTCTAATTGTCATAATATATATTTTTTTAATTCAATTCACTCATAATCTTATTTTCTGATATTGCTCACCACTTAGGTTACATGTTTATTTTTATTATTTACTTAAATTTCTTGCACTGTATAATTATGTTAAAGCGAATGCTGTGAATACCTATAATAGGCATGTGCATTAATATTGTATTATTTTTAATGTTTGTTATACCTATATGTTATAATGCAATATGCTGTTGGTGTTCCTTAAATAAATAAATATGCTTTTTTATAACTGTACAAATTTACTCAAATAAAACACAAGTAGAAATAATATATCCACAGTCAAAATTATACCACCATAGTACAATGATGCACGAAATAGTGTAGTATAATAGTTCTACGGTAACGTTCGATAAATCACGACCTGTGCATAGAGTTCTGCACCAGTGCACTCAAACCTGTCATTACTGTGGGCGACCGCCCGCGGCATCATTACAATGATTGTGCTCATATCGCAAGTCTAAATGTTGTTTAAGTATACTGATTGAATGAATGACTAATTTTAAAATGTAATCAAAAATAACGATGATTTTTAAAAACAGTAATTTTTTACTCCTGTATGATTTGTGTCTTCGATAAAATTGCCGGTATTCTGAGACAGCCAAATTAATAGCTATTATTCTTACTACTGTAATAAATCCAAAAATTTGTGCATATATATGAATGGATGTATATTACTCTTTCATGATTAATCGGCTAAACGGATTTGAATGAAATTTGCACGGATAGATAGATAGATAGATAGATACTCTTTATTCTTTCCTCCAAAAGATTACAATAGTAAACTTTTTTTTTATACAACTTAGAATGGCAAACAAGCTGACGGCCCACCTGATGCAAAGTGGTAACCATCGCCTATACACATGAGCAGTACCATGGACATAACAGAGTATACTGTTTCGTTCATGATACCCCTCATGCCTACTGAAAATCAGTGTCGTAGCTTAAGATTTGAAACTGCGACATATGCTGAGTTGGAAGCTTTACACAAACACTGCTACATTCATTTTGTTTTTTATATGTTTTTCTTTTTTTATTCTGAATTCTAAAGCCGCGAGGAAATAACTAGTATATAATAAATTTATTAGCTAAGTTTTTCACAGTTAATTAGCTGAATAAACAATAATAGAATGAAACTTCTACATGGATGGCATATACAATATAACAAATGATTACTA